TGGTCTGGGGGGTGCCGCGGGGAGCAACGCACAGCCTGGGACCCCCACTGGTGCTGGGGGGGGGGCGGGCGGCGGCTCTGCTGTGTCCCTACAGCTGCTAGGGGGAGGGAAGGCCGGGGGGGCTCCGCACGCTGCCCCCTCCACAATCTCCGGCTCCGTAGCTCCCATTGGTGGGGAACTATTTAAATAATATAGACATAGACAGACCTTGTACAAAACGTTAAAATGTATTACTGGCACGCGAAACCTTAAATTACAGTGAACTTGGCACACCACTTCTGAAAGGTTGCCGACCCCTACAGTAGATTATAAGCTTTGTTATGATTCCTTACAAGAGACGTTTTTCATGAAGCATATTCCAGTTACATTAGCATATTTTCATAAAATCATATAGAGTGCAACGTCACAAATACTATAAACCTTCCCAGAAAATTCAACTGTGTATTTTAAAAACTGAAATTTTTTTTATTATAAATGTAGGAGCCAGATCAAAATTCTGGATTCAAATGCCTCTAAACTTAAGAAGTGTTCAGATCCAGTGATTCCACCAGAACATTTTGCAAATACAAGTGGTACAGGTAGTAGCAGCCCATGAAGTGGAATAGTGTGGAGCTCACAGCCTGGAAATCCTGCACTGGAAGACAAGGATTTTCTACACACATTGATCTTCAAAACCCAGCAAGTGATCTATCTATAGGGTTTCTGTGCATATATAGCACTCCAAATTTAGGATACTAGTAGCTCTCTTCTCCCTACATTTATATACTGCATTTCTCTCTTTTTTTTTTTTTTTTTTTAATAGGGCCTTCCACTGAATCAGTGACTCCTCAGTTTGCAAACTGCATTTCAAAATATAACAAGGCATTGTGTTCCATACTATAATTAGTGCTTCTGATTCTCAGTTTTAATGGACAGACATCAATAAAACAGCCAGATACAGAAAACGAAATCTGTGTTTAACCAGTAAACAACTGAAATGGTTGCTTGTATCTAAGAGCTTGTCTACATGGAGCAGGAGTGTGTTATTTCTAAAGCACACTAGTGTGTTGGATATTAATTGGTCTGTGTAGACCCTTCTGATGCTCACTAAAAGTTTCCTAGTGCTTTAATATAGTGCTGTTTGAAACAGTGCTACGTTGAAGTGCACTAGGGAGCATTACAAAGAGATTACTCATTATGTATATACTATTATATACATTACTCATTAAAGTATGTACAAAGAATTTCCTGAAAACCCCCTATTAGTGGACACCTACATAAAACTCAAAAGTTGCTAAAAAATAACCACCCAAAATTAAATTAATAAAGCCTGAAAAACAGAAGCCCTACAATAGGGCATTTTACCACACCTTTTACACGCGTATAGTAGTCCCCAGTCTAACTGACACTACCACTTCATATTCATTGGGAGTTATAATTTTCTTGTGGAACTGCATTCTTGCATTCCTCCCTTTCTGTGTGCATGTACTTCACATTTTTATCCTACATTGCTTGTATCCCATTCCAAAGGCTAGTGGCTTCTGGAAGTCAAATAACCTAACTAAGGAATCTTTTGAAGGTTTGGATATTTCAGTATTTATGTAGGCCATGAATCCAAGACCTAATTGTTCTTGGCACTTGAAAGACAAAACATGAAGGACGTTTTTCCAAAACAGCTGCTAAAACCTATCTCAAATCATACTTTTAACTTCCACAAAGAGCTAGACAGTTTAGTCTACAGGTGAATATAAAAAATAGGCTTGTACTAGAAATGTATAATAATAATATTGGAAGAAAAATAAATATACCTTAAAGAAACAGAACAACTCACAGTTTTATCCCATTTTTATCTAACTAGCATTTAGCGGCTTCAACCAAGATTGGGGTCCCATTGTAGTAGATTATTTATATACCCATACTAGGTAAAATATTTTTAGCCAGAAATGTTGTTTTGACGTTGGTGTCCCTTTAAAGGGTTTCAAGCTGATTATAAATATTGTTACGTTTTACTAGGAATGTATAACCTTTTGGACTTTTTGTTAGACATCTGTCACCAGATCCTGGATCTGTACTCACAAGGGAAACAGCAAATGCCTCATCATACTCCACACCAACTGCAACAGCCACCATCCCTTCAATCTACACCTCAGATGCCTCCAGTACTACAGTCGCAGCAATCTCAAAGTTCAGAGCAGTCACAGACACAGCAGCAAAAAGAGTCCCAGCAGTCAGTGCAACAGCAACAGCAGCAACAAACACAACAATCTAAGAAACCCTCTCCTCAGTCAAGTCCTCCAAGGCAGGCTAAACGTCCAGCGGTAAGTTTAACTGAACATAAGTGGTGAACAGATTTCTAATTTAGAGCAGGAGCAGTTGTTGTCTAAATTATGGTTATGCTTTGAAAAGTGACTGTAAAGTATCACCTTAGTAAATGTTGGATTTTTTTCTTGGTTTATTGTGTTTAGTACCAAAATAAGTTGTTGTTTTTTAATGCCTACCAGGACCACAGGGCCTGCACCTCTATTGTGCATTGTCAACAGAACGGTTTACTGTGTTCCAATCAGTTATGCCTTTGCCCGCCAACTGAAGGCTGTGAGTTTGCCCAAATGTTACTGATGAAATCACTTGATCTGCAGAACCTTTATTATAAGTGATGATGTATGAGAAAAGAAGAACCCAAATTCACTTTCAGAAACTAGACTGAGTTTGTTGGAATGGCCATTTACATTTTTTCCCCAAAATGAGCATATTTTATATAAAATCAGAGATTCAATATAGGTGGAATCTCTGTGTCATTTTTGCAGGTTTCAGAGTAGCAGCCGTGTTAGTCTGTATCCGCAAAAGGAGCTGACCCCGAGGTATCACTACCATTAAGGGAGCAGACTACCCCATCAAGTGGTTCCACTCTGAAAATGCCTAAAAATGACACAAAAAGAACAGGAGTACTTGTGGCACCTTAAAGACTAACAAATTTATTTGAGCATAAGCTTTCGTGGGTTACAGCATCCGAAGAAGTTTATGAAGCTTGGTCCAACAACGGAGTAGATTGTGGTTCCGAGTTCCAATTTACGACTTACCAACTGTAAAGAACCAATTGTGTTCTAAGTCCGAGGACTGCCTGTAATTGAAAACCTGAGTGGGTGCCAGGAGCAATGCATCTGCAGGGCCACAAGGGGGCATGCTTGAGGGCGGCACCTCATTACAAACCACTTAAAAGTTTTTTGCATATTTTCATCATGACAATATAAAAAAAATTAATCTTACAGGCACGGTTTTATGCATTCCATGTCTTGTGCGCTGTACCATCACTGTTCTTTTAAAATAAGAAAGCACCCTACACAATGGCCAAAACTTCATAAGTATTCCAGCTGCACACTTATCCAAAGTCATTCCAGGGTCAGGGACAGCCTTTGGACCTCTATTTGATACGCAGTTAACTAAATTGTTGTCTCTATTGCATTTATGTTTGATAATTTATTCAAACAGCAGTGAAATAACAAGTGCGTTAGTCACACTAGAGCCTCTGGTATCTGTTTTCTTGGGCTATTTAGGATGTGCCCTCCCCTCTTTCTTATAAATTCTTAATGTCTTCTTATGACCTATTACTGCTAATGCAACTTTGATTTGGAGAGAACAGCAGGCAGCATCTCTGGAGAAAACAGACAATACAGTGAAAGATTTGGGGCTGAGGAGGAGTGTGCAAAAGTCTAGATAGAGGAAGCAGGCAGAAAAAGTTACGAATGCATAGATCTGTTTAATCTTAGATTTTTTACATAAAATGTCATTTACTGCTGAAACAAAGTCATGTCTGCAGTGGAACATGGCAGCACTGTTGTAACATTGCACGTTTGCAGTACATGGTAGTTGAAGATGGAAAATAAAGAATACCAAATTCAATTGAAACTTTAGGGGGAATTTTAGGTAGCCAGAATGTATTTGCTCCTCTTCTCCCTCCCCCCCCAAAACACCTTGCTTTCATTGCACATTGTCTTCTTGCGTTGTAGGATCTTAAGGGCAGGACCTTTTTTATATTTGTCTGTGAAGTACGTAGTAATCAGTTGGCACTGTGGAAATAATGAAAACACAAACTGGAATCTGGCCATATATAACTGTTGCAAAAATGCCAAGGAACTTTTGTCTGCAAATAGTCTAGGTATTTGTTTTAGGTCTTTCTTAAAAGAATGCATCTTCAGCAGCTTTAGGCTTCCAGTCCCATGCTGAAACATGAATTCATGAATTAATTTTGGAGGAATGAGAGTATACTTACTGAATCAACAGCATGATTTCCTGCAGCTCCTGGAGTTTTCTTCAGTCTCATAAGTATTAAGAAGGCCTGATCTTGCTTAGTTGGAGATCTGATGAGAATGGTATCTGAGCCCACCTAGCATCAGCCTAGAGTGTAAACGGATGCAGAAGGGAGACTAATAAGCCCAGATAATTTGTAGAGTGAGGTTAAAAAAAAGACACCTAAAGCCTATAAAAAGTTAGAGCTGTAAAGATATGTCCTGTTGTGGCAGGAGAGTGCAATAGCTCAGATTGGATAATGCGTTATGTACCAAATTTATTCCATGCTAGGAAATTCATGACTTGGAAGCAATAAGATGCATTGTGCCCCAAAAACATTTTAAGTTAAACCTTACTAAGAGATTCTACCAGTTTTTGTAAATAGGAAATTGCATGACTGCCTCTTAAGATGTTATAGGAGAAATGTGTATATTCCTCAGAGCCAGATGCTCCACTTTGTCAATCATCATAGCTTAATTGAAGACAATGGAGATATGGAAATTTACATCAGCTGAGGAGATGGTCCCTGGTTTATAAAACCTTTCCAAATGCCTGCCTGTCTAAATCTGGCACCTCTTCTAAACTGTTGGTGGGGAAGAACATTTTGAACGTTCAGCTGATTAAGGTCTCTCCCATTGTTGTTTTACTGAGGAAAAACTACCTTAAATGGTTGAACTAAAATATATGTTATTGGGGGCTGATACATTTGTATTGAAGATGTAAAATTTTCAAAGATACAGGTGCACATACAGTAGAACCTCAGAGTTACAAACACCTTTAGAATGGAGGTTGTTCATAACTCTGAACAAAAGGTTATGGTGGTTCTTTCAAAAGTTTACAACTGAACAGTGGCTTAATACAGCTTGGAAACTTTAGTATACAAAAGAAAAAAGATGCTTTTAAACATATTAATTTAAATGAAAAAGGCACAGAAAATTTCCTTACCTTGTCAAATCTTTTTTTAAATTTGCCGTTTATA